CCAGTTAAGTAGGTCCAGGATAGGGTCTGGGGCTTGCACTTAACAGGCTTCCAGGTACTGCTGGCGCCGCCAGGCCTCATGTGGCACTTCATGGAGCCAGGTCTTGAATAAAGGGGGCACACTAGGGTGGGGCTTGTGCCGAGGCTGGGGATGACAGGACCAGAGGTGTTTCCGTATTTCCCACACGATTTGGTTTTGTGGCTTCTAAAGCGCCACCTCGTCTCTACCTCACAAAGGCCAGCCGAAGGGGACTCTGTCCACTGTGTCGGAGCCTTAAAGGGAGATGCCATGTATCCATAGGGGCCGTCCTGGTGGTGGCTGCAGAAACAGAGAAACCCCCAAAGCGATACTTTCAGCGAAGACAGCTGGACCAGTGGGAATTTCTCCATCTGGAGAGTGCATGTTTTTTGTTGAGCTTTTTGTGGACAGCTCACACATGCTCACGAGTAGAGCAGTATTATACAATAAGCCTCATATCCCATCAGCTCCTGGCCAATTTCCTCCCACCAGCCAGACTATCCTCAACAGATCACTTCATTCATCAGCATCTTAAAATGCAGCTCCAGAATAAAAGTCCTGTCTTTAAGAACAAACATGTTTTATTTTAATAAGGGAGGCAAATCTTTCTGGGAAGCCTTTTAGCAATATTTGTTAAAATAGTTTGTCACAAAACAAAAACGTTAACAAAATGTTAAATAACTAGAATTATGTATCCATAAAATGAAAACTATGTAGTGCTTAAATATTCTCTGAGAAGATGCATTTAAGAATATAGAAAACTGCTTCTAGTATAACATTAAATTTTATAAAGCAGGTTCCAAGACGGCACGCCAGATGACCTTATAAAACCATAATACATACAACATATGTGTGCACAGAAAAAAATCGGAAGAAAATACATAAAAAATTTAAGCAGCTTTCTGGGTCATTTTATTTTTCTTACTATGCTTTTCTGAATGTTCCTATTCAACAGTAAGCATGCATGACAATCAAAAAGACAAAAAAGGTATCGTGGAGGCTGAGGTATCCCCAGTGGAACTTGTGTCATGCCAGGACTCTCGCTGGGGAGTGACTGTATAATCTCTCAGCTCCATCCTCCCAGGTAGCCCAGAGCTGCTGGCTTCCAGCCCAGGTTTGGGTGTGGCCTCCAGAGCCCCCCATCAATCTCTTTGCCTGACTTGAGATCTTAGTTGGTCCCCGTGTGGCTCCGGATGGTGGGCGATCCTGTTCCTTCCTCTCCAAGCTTCCCCAGGCTAAGTCCCTTTAAGCACCCATGGGCTTGGGCCATCAGTGTTTGGACTTAATTGATTTACTGGGCAATGCAATCGTACCCCTCCCTCCTTCCCACTATCTGAAATTTGGCCTGAGAGACTGCACTGTCACATGTTACCAATAGGTGGTGCTGCCTAACACAAAAGCACTCTTGACCAGAGTTCTCAAGATTGACTTCAGGGATGCTTAAAATAATAATTGCTGGAGGGGAGTGATGCATAGCATTGACAAAAGGTCACAGGGAACAAATTTACCATCCAATACTACCACTGCTACAAGAGTAGCCATTTCAATACCAAAAACTTAGGAAGACAAAAATGTCAGAATAAAGAGTCCTTGAAATGGAGTATATTTAATTATGAGAAAAACTCAGTGACGTGGTTCTCATCATTTCACCTCAGGTTGCTGAAAACTGTTAACTGGGCCGGCCTTTAAATCCTTGCTGTCATCAAGGATTCCAAAAACTGGAGGTTCCCCTATTCCTCAAGTTCAATGTCTGTAAAAACTAACTTGCTTCAAACTAAGAACACCTTTTTGTTCTCAGCGTGCAGTGAGACACATGCTAGATCCCTTTCTCCTCTTATGGCTGCAGTAGAGCAGTGAGCCACTTCCAAGGTGACCCGTCTTGCTGAAAACACACAGATCCGACCACATTATCCCCTGCTTATCCTCCTCGGCTGGCTCTCTGTGTCTACAAAGCCAAAAGAACTCAGCATTCCACATTCCACACCAGTGGCTTCATGACCCAGGCCTGCCCCACTCACCAGGATCACGCGAGTCACCTGCGATCCATCAAAAACAACCAAAGGTTGGGCTTCAGCCTTGCCAATTTCAGTACTGGGGACACGTCAATTGGTGTCTCCCACCTCTGCAGAAATCCCTCCACCTGCAATGCCCTATTCCCCCTCGCCCCCCGACCTGCCTATCCTCACCCATCACCTCAGCACAGTGTCACCTCCTGGGGAGCCACGTCCTCTGCTCCCAAGGCGCCTGACACATAATGACGACAGAGCATGCCCCATCTTGCTATGCGCAAGTCCAGTCCCCGAAAGCCTGTGACCTCCTTCCCTGAGACAGGCCGCCTATTCGGCTCGCATCCCCTCAACAAGGCTCGACACACAGAAAGTGCCCTCACTGAATTGATGCCCCTTGTTGGAAAACAAACCTGGGTCAGCTTTTTCCACACCCTCCCTTAAGAACTTTTTAGTAAGCCCAGGAGATAGTGGCAGAAGCTGGCAGGCTGACTAGAAGAAAACAACAGAAAACCTTAAGGTTTAGAGAGCCGTGTGTCTGGCAAGAGAAGGGTTTCCTGATCCCCTAAGAAACCTCCAGCTGACACCTCCCCGCCCCCCAAAAAAACTCTTCCTGGAATGTGTTAGCTCTGTAACACATTTTTACATGCGGGCAAAGTACACAGGTCTGTCATCGTTTACAAAAAATGATGTGTTTCAACATGGAGTGAAAAACATGCTCTACAAATAGGGTGACTGTGTGTGTAGCAAAATAACAAATTGAGCTGGGCACAGTGACTGGTGCCCGTAATCCCAGCACTTTGGGAGGAGGAGGCAAGAGGACTGCCTGAGCCCAGGGGTTCAAGACCAGCCTGGACAACTTGGCAAGACCTCGTCTCTATAGTAAATCAAAAAATTAGCTGGGCATGGTGGCACACGCCTGTAGTCCCAGTGACCTAAGCCCCGCAGGGTCGGGGCTGTGGTGGCCGTGATCGTGCCACTGCACTCCAGCCTGTGCAACAGTGACTCAAAAAAACAAAAACACAGTTTCCAAAGAAAAAACAAATTAGGAAAAACGGGGAAAGTAGAACACAATTCACAATTCTATGCAGAGTACGGTCAATGCATAACAAGCTATCCACTGGCAGAAACATGAATAACAATTATGATGACTACCATTTAGTGTGTATTTATGCCTGCACTAAGCAAAATGTTTACCTTCCCAACCTCAGTTAGTCTTCACAACCCTTCTATGAAGCAGGAACCTCTCCCCTAGTTTGCAGATTCAGAAAGGTTAAACTTATCAATGTGAGAGCTGAGAATGGAATCCAGATCTCACAAAAATGCTCAAAGTTCATTGACTATGAACTTTTCCCCTTCTATATTTGACTAAATTAGTTTAAATTGTAGTTAAAATAATTTAATTCCTGCCTTAGCAAACAGGGCATGCAGACCTTCCAGGCCTCAGAGCCCACCACATAGGCCAGCCTCGTGCTGCGGACACAAAGTGGCCCAGGTCCATCCTGAAGGCCTCTGTTTTGTTTTTAATAAGCCTAATTCATACTTTCTTATGATTTAGCTCTTTTCCTAAAGGTCATGTGATACTATGTGACGCTCAAAGGGCTAGTTTCCCTCATCTAGTAATTTCCTAAAAAAAAAAAAACAACTAATAAACCAATTAATAATCCAACTTTATTTTAATGGGCCAAGGATATTCACAGGCAACTCATAAAAAAGGAAATATAAACGGCTCAACTTATTTTTACAAAGTTTATTCATAAGTTAGAGAAATGCAAATTAAAACTATAGAAAGGCCAGGCTCAGTGGCTCAGCCTGCAATCCCAGCACTTTGGGAGGCTGAGGGGAGGACTGCCTGAGCCCGCAGGTTCGAGACCAGCCCAGGCAACTTGGCGACACCTTGTCTCTACAATAAATAGCCGGGCGTGGTAGCTCACCTGTAGTTCTGGCTACTTGAAAGGCTGAGGCAGAAGGATCGCTGGAGCCCAGCAGGTCGATGCTGATGCTGGGGTGGCTATGAGTGTGCCACTACACTCCAGCCTGGGCGACAGAGTGAGACTCCAACTCCCCCCCCCACAAAAAAAAAACTACAGAAAGACCAACTTCCACCAGTCTGGCCAAGACAGGCGGCTCCCTAACATGTGGAAAGCGCGTGTGTGACAACTGAAACTATCTCCTCCACTGTGGGCAGCTCAGCAACATCTGCCATTACTGCTCATGCTCTTGGACCCAGGAGTCCCCCTGCTGGGAATTTGCCCTTCAGACTGACGTGCGAGTGAAAAACAGCCCACATACATGATCTATCGTAGCAGTGGCTATAACTGCAGAGGAAATATCCCTTCATCAAAGGAGTGTGGACAAATTGATAAGGTACATTCATACATCCACGCAACCCTAACCACAATGGGGAAGCTCCTTCTCTCAGCATTGCTACGGAGTTTTTAAAAATACTGTCAGTAAAAAAACCAAAACAAACAGAACAAAAACAAGGACCACACAAGAAACTGATGCTAGAGGCAGTCTCTGGCAGGGCCCAGAGGCAGTCATGGTGGGACAGTTCACTGTACCCATTAGTGCCTTTTGAATTTTAAACCATGTGAATCTACTAGTTACTCAGAAAAAAATTGAAATACACATATGGAAGACTTCCTCGTTACTAAGATCTCTGGCCTAGCTCCAGTTAACTGAGCTACTGTACTCTCTCCTGCACTATATCCTGCCTCACAGCAATCCACGAAGCACAAAACAGGGGGACTGTGAATGTCAGTGACAGGCTAGGCAGGGACTCTAGTCCCTCTGCCATTTCCCAAGAGAAGAGAGAGCTCCTGAGGGTCTCCCAGGTTTGCACTTCCTCCCTCCGCCTACAGGTGGTGCTACAAGGCCTGCAGCCCTGGACCCATGGCGGTGGCTGGGGCGCCTTGGGCCTCAAGCTCGCTGACAAACAGGCAAAGAAACAGGCAGGCACAAGTAAGTAACATAAAATAGAAACTAACTTTATTTCTCTGGAAGAAGCAGGTATTGATAGCTGGGGCAGCAACTTTGGCGACAGAGGCTGGTGGGAAAACAGAACAGCACAGGGGAAAAGGAGGGGTCAAAGAGGAAGCACTGATGTCCCTCCGGGCAGCTGCCCCCTTGGTCCCCTTCCAACCCTGGGGCCTTGGGCCCTGGTCCCTGCCAGATAATGGGCTGGCACCCTTTCTCTGCTTCCTGAGCCACCTCAGGCTATTCCAGGCACAAGACTCTGAGACCAGCCAAGTCCCACAACATGTCCGTGGCCAGGCCTCAAGTCACATTCTGTTCGACCCCCCAACTGCCGGTCAAGGGCTCCCTGGAAAAGGGCCCAGCCCCGAGGGAGGTCCTCCAGGTGCTGGTCCGCCTTTCTGGCCAACACATCCTCCCTGCTCAGGTCAAGCCTGGTTTCCTCTCAGTATGGTCCCCCTGGGTCACCACTCCAGTCACAGGCTCAGCCAAGGACTGGAGCCAGAGGCAGGTTACACACCGGGCCCACTGGGGCAATCTCAGGCCTGCCTTCACGGGGTTCCCGCCTTCACAGGGCTCCGGCCCGCATCTTGGCTGGGGCACTGAGGGCTGAACCAAAGCGTGCAGGGTGCAGGAGGGATGGGCAAGGCAGGGCTCCCAGCCTCCTGCTGCCTTGACCTCGCTCTGTCTGCTGGAAGCAGCAAGTAGCAGCAGGTCCTCCAAGCCTGGATGGGGGTGTCTCCCCACCCTCCTCGGATGGACAGGCTCAATGATTTCTTCAGGGCAGGCCCTCCGGCTCTCCCAACACATCTCAGCGCCTAATGGATGGGAAACAACCAAAAAGTCCCTCCATCAAAAGCTCGACAGATCATGGAAAATCCCGTGTGGGCAGGCATAAGAGGGCCCTGCCTCTTGGCATGAGGCAAACCAGTTGAAAAGTGGTTGTCTCAGGCAGCCATTTTGGAACTTGACATTCTATGATATCCTTTTTCCTCACTTTAATAAACTACGAATAAATAAGAGAACAGCACTGCTGTGTATCAGAGCATCTGAGGACGAGAGGTACAATAAGGCCCAAGTTTATTCAGCTGCAAATTAGCAAGCAGAACCTCGAGACAATTTCTAATACCTAACACTTAGTGCCTATGTCCTGGGCCCCAGGCATGTGGAGTGTGCTGTAACAGTCGCATCTATCATGCGTCCCCATCGCTTCTGTGAGGTGGGCCCTATTATCTGTACACTTTACAGATGAGAAACCTGAGTGCCATATGCATGGTCACACCTCAGGCACCTGTCTCCAAGGCCTGATGAATCTTGGCCACTACATCCTGCCTGGGATGATGCCAGCTCTACCCACTAGACCACACTGCACTACTTTTTGACTTGGTAAAAATTTCATGTTCGTATTTGTATAATATAAAGTATGTTACATAAATATCTATATTTTTAAAACTCTATAACTCTACACATTTGTTATACTATTTATAAATAAACTTCTTACAAGGAAGACAATGACCTTTTTTTGTTTGAGCATTCCTTTAAAAAGGTCTTAAAATTGTAAATGTCACTTTAAACAGAAATATGACCAACACCGTGAGAAGTGTTTGCTTAAATCACAGGGTACTCAGGTGCTGCTCCCTGGAGTCACTTGGGGTCGCTGTGGGTGCTGGGAAAGCAGTCCCCTTTGGCCAGAGGGGCTCCTACCCATTTTTACTCCTCACTCGTTTAAAACCAAGTGGCTATAAAATCTAAATTCATTTAGGAGAAACTGTTTTCAACTAACATTGCCTGCTTCCTGGGACCCGTGCCCCTCCCTCCCCCAGCTGGAAAGTTCTCTGTCCATTTCCCTGGACAAGAGCAGCCTGCCAGGTACTGGGCTCTTTCCTGGTGTGCTATGCTCCGGAGACAGCCCTCCTGGGACAACGAGAAGGGCAGAGCATGGGGCTCACTCACTTGTGGTGGGCAGGGACACAGGAGCCCAGGAGATGGCAGCCAGCTTGCTCCAGGTTCCAGTCAAACATCTCCAGCACTTTGTGACACTCCCCCCTCGGCCGCAGACCCAGCCCGAAGAGCTGCTCCACCTGGGGGCAGAGGAGAGTCATGGACATGCTGGGCTGAGGACGCCAGACCAGGGCGGGGCAGAGGAGAGTCAGAGCCAGGGGTGGCAGGCTAGGGGCAGCAGAACCAGCCCTCAGATCCCTGAAAGCCAGAGCAGGCAGGAGGAGGTGGTACCTTCAGATACTGAGCAGCCCTCTGCACGCTCCAGCCGTGGCTCTGCAGGGCCGCCTGGCACTCCTCTGTGGTCACCCCATGCACCATGGCCTGCAGCTGGGCACACCCACCCTCCTGTTAGCACCGCTCGGGATCGCTGCCCTGAGTCCCTTGGGCCCCTGCCCCTCCTTGCCCGAGGCCAGGGCTGGTGCTCACCATCTGGATCTTGTCTGCTGGCCGTCCAGCCTCCGGCCCATCCCCAGGGCAGCCCCTCCGCGGCAGCCGAGCAGTGGCCCTGAGGGCTGGTGGCTGGGCCCCTGGGTTGCTGTTGTTGGTGGAGAAGTTGGCCTTGGGGTCTGAGGCAGCCTGGGGCATCGGTCGAACAGTGGCAGTGGGGGCGGTAGGGGCAAGGGTGCTGGGTGGGGGCAGCAGGGGCACAGGCAGGGGGGGCAGCTCCTCAGGACTCCAGGCCTCACACAGGAAACGTTGGTAGCACTCCAGGTAGGGTGGGCCCTCGGGCAGAAGGTAATAGTGGGTGTTGCTGACCTTCTTGCCGTCACGGACGATGGGCAGGATGCAGGGACCAGCCCGTGGGCCAGGGGCCTGGATCACCTGGGGGGTAGCGTACTTGGGGTCTGAGGCGAAGCTCTGGGTGGTGGGCATGGTCTTCCCAGGTGAGCTTGAGAGCCGGGGTGGCAGCGGGGAGCTGCCAGGTGGCACTAGGGGGCTGGGGGTCCTGGAGCCTTGAGGGGACAGGGGCTCCCGGGGAGGCACCCTGGGAGGGGAGATGGGTCCAGGCCACTGACCTGTCTCCTCCTCGCCGGAGGGGGCTGGAGACAGCTCAACACGTGGGCGCGTGGGCCGAGGGGGAATGGGCACCCGGGGGGGCACCTGGGGCTTGTCGTCGCCCATCGGGCTGGGTGAGGGGGCCAGTGAGCCGGCCGGGACCTGCAGTTGCCGCATGCACTCCTGCTGCAGGGCCTGGAAGATTTCTGCCGTCTGGGCGGAGCTGGGCGGCTTGCACCCACCCTGGGGCGGGAGGAACAGGTTGTCCTCCAGGGGAGGGGGGAGCCGTGCCTGCTCGGGCACAAAGGCGTAGTTGGTCTCGCCCTGGCTGAGCCCAGTAGAGCCCCCTGTGCCCACCAGGGTGCTGTTGATAGAGCAGACCTCGAAGTCATCCTCATCCTGGGCCACATCGTCGTAGGCAGGGGGTGGGGGCAGTGGGCGGGCATCCCAATCCACAACAGGCGTGGGGTGCAGGGGCCGGGGCAGAACACGCGTGGGGCTCTGTGGTGGGGTCTTGTCCAGCAAGGAGCAGGCGTCCATGGCCAGCTGTGCTAAGGAGGGCGCACAGGGCCGCGGGGCCGGGACCACGGGCTCCTCGCCGAAGTCGATGAGTGTGACCTCAGCCCCGCTGCTGCGGCCGGCCTTGGTGCCCAGCACCCGGGCCGAGGGCTTTGCTAGCCACAGACCTCGGGGCAGGCCTGGCTTCCGCAGGCCCAGCCTCTTGAAGTCGCTGGCCAGGGGGTCCTGGTCCTCACTCACAGGGTCATAGGTTGGTTCTGTGATGGAAAGGAAGGCCCCAACAGGAAGGCAGTCAGGCAGGGGGACAAGGAAAGGTGAAGTGTGGGAAAGAAAGTCAGGTACTCCAGTAGCTCCCCACCCCCAACTCCCCCTCTGCCCTCAACAGGCAGAATCTCAGCATGCACCTGACTCCTCAAACAGGATGGAACCTGCCCTCTTCAGCCCTGTGTGGGCTGGTGAGCCTCCTGCCTCCATTGAAGCTAGAGCAGGCAACACCCCACTCCTGCCTCCGATCCCCCCAACAATACAAGACCCCAAACAGCCCTGCTCCTGGCCCTGGTTAGTAAGCCCTTACCTCACCCCATTATGGCACCCGTTAGCGCAGGCTCGGGCAGTCTCCCGCCATCAAGGGCGCCAGAGCTGTCCTCAGGGAGGACAGAGCTCCTCGGGCAGTCTCCCGCCATCAAGGGCGCCAGAGCTGTCCTCGGAGAGGACAGAGCTCCTGACCAGCCACCACGAAAGCCCAGACACAGCCTCCGAGGACCGAGAGGGAGCGAGGAGGGAGCCAGGACCACACACTTGCTCCAGAAACCCAGGTTTTGGGGAACGCAGTGGGGGAGGCAGGCATGCTAGGCCGGATCAGCAGCAAAAGCTCACAGCACACACCCGCCTCCCCTTTTGCCCAGCCGCCAGGGCTCTGTACCTTCCAGGAGAAGAGGAGTGAGAGGAGAGAGGGGGCGGGGGCAGGGGCCAAGGCACAGAGAGCAGCCCCACTTACTCTGCGTGAAGATGGCAGGCTGAGGTGGGCGAGGTGGAGGCTCCCCTGCAAGAAAGGCCATGCGGATAGGAGTGGGGAGGGACAGAGCAGGGCAAAGGAGGGAGGGAGACGGCCGGACAAGAGGGCAGAGTTGGAGAGAGAGAGGGAGAGAAGTGAAGAGGCCAGTGAATGTACAACCCCAAAGCAAATGGGAGCGACGGGGGCAGGATGGAGGCTGTGGTGTGGAGTGACAGGCACAGGATTCGGGAGGTGGATGGGCCCTGGCTGCGATGGAGCCCGGGGGGCGGTTTTGGCTCCAAAGAGGAGAGCGGGATCAGGGGAAGTGAGCAAAGCCAGGGCCTGAGCATGGCAGTGAGGAAGGAGGGAGGAGGGAAGCTGTGGCAGGCGGGGCCGGTGCGGAACCAACCAGGGTTGCCCACCTCGGCGGATACAGCTGCCTCTTGTCTTCCACCCCACGCCCAGCTGGAGCCAGGGACACAACTTTCCCGCCTGCTGCCCTGACCCTGCTGTCCCCAGAGCCAGAACAGCAGGCTCAGGGTGGCCTGAGAAGACAGTGCCTCTACCCGGGTAGCCAGCAAACTGAGTATGCCAAGAAGTGGATGGCTCTTACTTTTCACCCTTCCCAGATGCTGGGCGGGTCGGGAGGTGCTCAGTTCCACGCTCAGTAGGTCGGGAGGGTCCATGGGGTTTCCCAGGTACAGTCTGTGGGGAGAAAGCCAGGTTGGGGGGAAGTAGGAGAAGGGTGTGGAGCAGGGGCAGAAAAGTTGGGCCTGTCCCCTGGGGTCAGTCCTGACACAAAGTCCTGAGTGTGTCCAGGGGACCGTATCGCCAAAGTCCCTTCACCCTAGGGGAAGCTGAACGGCAGACTTGGGCAGACTGTCTACACATCCTGATCCCTTCCACAGGTTGCAGCTGTAGGCAGAGGGTATCTTGCAGAAAGGACACTGGACCCCAGGCCAAAAAGCCTAGGATGTCAGGGACTCCCCACCTAGAGAGCAGAGCTGGTCCCCCACAACCCTCATGGCACGCCACCTGTGGGAACACGCTCCTGTCCTGAAGGCCCCCCCCCAGGAGCGCCCGGGAACTGAGGCATCCGGGACACAATCCCTCTAGTTGGGGTGGGAGGAGGCATCCTTCTGCCACGCAGGAGGAGGCAGGGGAGCGCCTGGGCCACCTGCCTGCTCCCAATTCACCCTCAATCCCTGCGCCTACTGTATCTGGGACTTAGTCACTGGGGCTGAGTAAAGCCTGGAGGAATGGGGCTGGGCTGGCCCCGGCACGCTGGGAGTGGGGTAGAAGGCACTGGCCCTCCTGGAACGCCTGCACTCTCCCACCTCAGCTTTCTCAGGCCCTTGCCTGCCACTCTGCTGTTCATGAGACCGACCCCTCCCAGAGCTTGGGGTTCCACTGTGTGGGGCATGGAGGGTGAGGTCCCCTGCCTGCCATGCCTCTCAGGTAAGACACACGGGTCAGAAGTCAGCATGGGGAGGGCTGTAGGACTGGGGCCCAGAATCCCCCACGGCCAGCAGTGAGGCATGGGGCCTGTGTGAGGGGCAGTGTGGGGCTCCCGAGCGGGGGTATCTGGGAATTAACTAATTCTTCTCAATGTCCTTCCCAGATGCCCCCCCAATGGCCTCATCCTTTGACTCAGGGGAGACTGCAACCCGCCTCCCACGTATAGAGCGAGCTCTACCAAGCCACATGCAGGAGAGTGGGGATGGCTGGGCTGCCACCTGCCATTCCCTCTGAGGGTCCCTGCAGGTTGAGTCCTGCCCCCTGGTTCTGGGAAGCAAGCTCACTGCCATCGGGCCTGTGCACATTTCCAGGGCCTGACCCAACAGGCTCAATCTCCAGGACTGTGTCACCACCAGTGGGAGAAGGAAAACTCAAATGTGGGGGTCACGGGAGAAACTTCCTACTCAACTGCTTCCCAAGGGCTGTTCCCAGGTCATTCTCCTGAGGCCAGTATGTCAAGAGAGGTGTGGCCCTGGTGGCTGTGGCTCTGGTGGCCTTTCCACCAAGTGGGCGTGTGGGTCTATCCTCGAAGTTCCTGTTCCATTTAGCCTACAGTGAAAAGCTGTCGGACAGCAAGAGACCCTGTGCCCAGGGCCAGGGTAGAGGATATACAGGGGAAAACAGGATGCTGCAGGCCCAGCAAGGACAGCCCAGATGCTTCCCACTTGCAACTCCACAGCCAGCACTGATGCCCAGCACCCAACTTGGGGCCCTTCCCTCTGGCAACTACACCCGCACTCCATCCTCTCTCCACATCTGGTGCTAGCGTGTGGGCCTCGGAAAGGAAACTAAGAGAAGAGGAAAAAACCATGTGGTGCATGGGGGGCTGGAAGACCATGGTCAGGCTGGGCACCTGCAGGGCCACGGAGGGCAAGAGAGAGAACCCAGAAGGTGTCTCTGCCCACTCAGGCCTCAGACCCTCTACAGACCTCGGCTCCAGGGCAAGAGGGTCAACGCCCTCAGTGGCCCTGGCCCATGTGCACAGCTTACAAGCACTGGGAACCCACCACGTCCTCCTATGCCAATACAGGAGAGCACCGAGGGAGGCAGACAGATGGCCACAGTGAAAAGAGCAGAACAATACGACAATGGAGAGAGAGGGGGACTGGAGCTGCCCTGTATGTGGGTAAACTGCCACTCAGGAGGAGAGCTCCAAAAGAATGCAGTATGGGAAAGTGCTCCACCTGCACGTCTGTGTTCGGCAGGACGTCAGGAGGGGAGGAGGCCTGACGCCACGGAGAAGTACGTGTGGCCGGGGCAGTGTCCATGTGAGCTTGGGACACAAGGCCTGAGTGTGTGCGTACGCTCCAAGGTGGAGCACCGCCACACCTTCCACAGGTGACCGCAAAAGCCATGCTCTTTCCGGGTCCCTGCCCTTGCCATGGGCAGAGGGTCTCTCGCTGCCTGATCACTTTTCACTGTAGGCAAAACGGAGCAGGATCTTTAAGGATGGACCCACACGCCTACTTGGTGGAAAGGCCAGTAGGGCCACAGCCGCAATCCCTCTCAGCACACAGTCCTAACAGGCTGGGAACATCCCTTTGGAAGCAGTTGAGTAGGGAGTGTCCCTACAACCACTACGTTTGAGCAGGACTTTCCAATTCAGAGTACATTTACAACCCTTACCTCAGTGGGATGTACCCATTTTACAGACAAAGTAAGCTTCAGAGTTGAGAAACTTGTCCACAAGCTCACAAACAGAAGAGAAAGCATTCTGATCAGGAATGCTGCCACTCAAGCTGGGGCCTTCTAGGGTTCCACAACTCTCCAAGAGTGAGGCAGGAGATCAGGAGGAAAGGCAAACGGGTCGGGGTTGGAGACCAAGAGAGAGCGTGAAGAGCATGGGCGAGCTGTTGGGTGGCGTGGTGAGGGACCGTGGACCCTGGGGTCCTGGGCAGGGTCCGGCTAGTGTCTCTGCCCAAATACTCACTCATCAATCCTGTCGGGGAAGCCCCAGCAGTGGCGGGGGTCGCTGTCGCCATGCCCCGTGTGGATGAAGCTGTTCTGCAGCGGCTGGCTGATGTCCTGGGCTGACAGGCCAGCCACAGAAGTCACCACGTTGCGAGGGAAGGGCCCCACACACAGTGTCCGCGTGTTCTGCCCACGCCACCAGTAGTTCTCAGCCCTGCCCGAGAGAATCAACAGTGAACACCAGGTGTGGTGGGGCGGCCCCGCAATGGGACGCTTCTCAAGCCCAGCCACCTTGGCAGAAGGGGCACGAGGCTCGAGCCTTGGGATCAGGTGGTCTGCCACCAGCCCTCCTCCGCCCAGCCCCCATGGCTTGCCACGCCCCATCCAGGTCTGGCTGTTTGCACACAGCCCTACCCTAAGCTATCTAGGTGGGTCAGGCAGCCTTTCCTACAGCTCGCAAATAAGGAAACAGGTTCCAACAAGTGACATGACTTGCCTATGGTTGCCAGAAAGATCACAGCAGACCAAGAATTCCAACCCAGTTATAAGTCTGCAAAGCCAATGCCCTCTCACACCGCCACCTTGCCTGCCTCTTCCCCTGGCAAGGCCTGGGCCCCAGCCTCTTCTGGCCACTTGATCTCACTCTTCAGTCAGATTCTGGGAATTTTAGAGGTTCAGGGCCCAGGGGCTCACCAAGGGCCTCAGCACTGGGCCTCGGGTCAAGCCCTCCAACTCCACCTATCTCCTGCCTGCAAGCCTTCAAGTGTTTAGAAGCACTCGGGAACAACCCAAGCCTTCTCTTCACCACTTCCAGTGCTTTCCACCACCTCCTGGCAGGCTTTCAGGAGCCCCATTCTTGCCATCCTGTTTCCTCCCTCAGGAGGGTCTCTGCTCCTCTCTTAAAACAAGGGGTTCAGAAGGGAACTCAGTACTGACTGTGGGGTCATCAGTCTCCCCCTCCGACCTCAGACATGAAATCTCTGTGCAGCTAAGCTGGGGTCTGGGGTGGAGGCAGTTGGGCAAGAGCACAGATCCCTGCAGACCCTTCTAATGCCTGAAGCCCCACCAGGTTGTGAGGCTGCTGCGTGTGCTACTGGAATTGCTCACATCCAAGACGTGGGCAGAATGTGGGCTAGGCAGAACTGCCATGGTGGATGTGTGTGGCGCCAAGATGTGCCCTCCCTGTCAACTCCCCCACCCCCACCCACGTGACCTGTTCCAGAGCCAGAACCATAAAGAAGGCCTCCTCTGAAACACAGCCAGACCAGGGGGTTGGAGGAGGACAGGGTGGAGGATGAGGTGATGCCTAAGCACCAGGGGCCACCGCTTCGTGAGGTGATGAGATACGGCTAGGTGTGAGCTCCAGAAGAGCCTGTCCCAGGGACCAAAAGTTAGGCCTGGAGCACGGCAGTCCTTAGGGCGGTAAGCACTGGGTGGGGCTGAGCTCCCACAGCCCAGCCTCCCCGAAACTAGGTGGCTGGCCTGGCCCACCACCACACACAGCAATGCTGTGATTACCACCCTGCCTTGGGGTAGGGAGGAAGGAGGACAACACCCTGAGAAGGGACGAGGCTCATCTGAAAACAGCAGGAGGAGACAAACGCCCCCGACTGTGCACACAGAGCCTCCTGTGATGGCCAGTGGGGGAGGAATGCCGTTCTTCGCAATACTCACAGGCTCCCCAGTGGCCACCCCTGGGCCAGACGCTGGACTCTGCTCTCCACACCTCTTCAGAGGTGCTCATTAACTGGGCGAGAACCCTGCTGAGGCTGAGATGGTGATCAGGGTGGAGTGGACTCGTGCCTGAGGCCAGTCCTGGCAGGAGATCACTCCCTCTACCCTTTCCTTCTGCCAGTGCAGCCCAATCCACACGCAGAAAGCCTCCTTTCAGACCCACTTCTGAGAGCGGGAGACACTAAGCCCACCTCCCTTTATTACAGGTAAGGCCGAGGCAAGAGCCCCCATGGCTGCTAGAGGTCCTGATGCCACTTTCCAAAAATACACTTGCCACAAGGAAAAGGAGAGTCGGTGCAGAGCACGTTGAGAACGACCCTCTTGGGACGGCACCTAAACACACGCAGAAGCAACATTCTCCAGAACTTCCAAGAGGCCATGCTGCATCTCACGGCCCACATGTGCCCCTCTGAGGCTCAGCGGGACCAAGATGCCAGCAGCCCAAGGGGGATAGAGGCCAGCCCTTCCACCAGGCCTCCTCAGGCCACACCCGCTCTTCCCTCCAGGAACAGACCAGTCTCCATGGCAATGGGAGAGCCAGGCTTACCATCTGGCAGTGACTGCAGCAGAGACAGACGGGAAGTCCCCTAAGGAGTAGGAAAAGGGCCCAGTACCTCCAGCATGAACTTTCTACTTCCTGCTGCCCTCAGGCCTCCCGTCAGTGTCTCTGGGGCAGGCAAGATGGAAAATCAAGGCCTGAGTGAAAACAGCCTGAGACTGCCCCCAGCTCTCAAAATCTCAGCACCTTGCTCCAGTCCTAGCCTAAGGTGTCCAGAAATGGCTGAACAAACACTGTCTGAACATTCTGCCCGAGACACCCTCCACCCCTCCTCTCTGGGTGTCCCAGGCACCCTGGCCTTGATGGATAACCCAGACATGAACTGCTTCCCTCACCCACGAAGCAGAGGCTCCAGGGCCAGGCCAAGGACTCACAAATGGATTTCAAAACCACTGTTCCCCTTCACCAGCTCCATAAGCACAACAAAAATGCTGCCAGCCACCCTACCCTCCAAATAAAGCCCTCAGGAAAGACTAGTCATCATCCATCTCTCCAAATAAAACCCTCCAAGAAAGACCAGTGACAAGTGGGACTCGGAAGCAAATACAGGACACAGCTTCGGTAAGGGGGAATCCAAGGCTAGGAGAGGAGCACCGAGGGCCAGGCTGGGAGGGAGGCAGAAGCAGACCCGGCAGACAACCGGGCCCAAAGAGACACTGACAGACCCGTCCACCTGGACACACGGAGACAGAGCCAGTTAAACAAACAGAGATACTCGGGGACTGCGAAAACAAGGGGGCAGAGTTAAGGCTCTGCCACCACCAACACCCAGGCCCACTCCCAAAGCCTCACCGGCTGTTATGGCCTCCTGTCCCTCACCTCCCACCTCCTGAGCAGCTTCAGGGACAGAGGGCAGGTGCTGTGGTCCAAGTCTGGGCTGCTAGCCCAGGAGGAGGAGACCAGTGAGCTCAACCAGGGGCAGTTGCAGGGCACCTGCAGCTGGGCCAACCAGAGCCTGTGACAAAGGGCGCGGCAGGGTGTACCTACCGCCCTCCTAGGAGGAGCTTCCCCGCCCTTCCCACTGCCCCAACCCCTCCCACTGTGGGCCTCACTTCCTCGGTGAGTTACCCCTGGGGAACACTGGCAGGTGCACAGGCTCCCCCTGAGATCAAGAGAAGGCAATGGCAAAGACCTGGACTGCAGGGGGCAGGGGTCAGGCCCAGGGGTCTCCAGCTCCTGTTGGTGGACACATTGGTAGGCCAGACTTCTGGCTTAAGGCCCTGCCATGGAGCTCCGGAGGGGGCCTCACACTTTCTCTTCCCATCTCCAAAGTATGCCCAAGTGCCATGACTACCCTGGGCCTTCAGTTCCATGACTGTGTGTCTTCCTGTCCCCAGGCCTCTCTCCTTCTAGAAGCCTCTTGCTTTCTCTCACCACCACCAATTCCCCAGCCACAGCCCCCTATAATCTGTTGGTGTCATTTCTGTTCCCAGATCCCAGGCCCAAAGGCGAAGGAGCCCTGGCCTGGGAAAAGGTATCAGCTCCACACAGCCAACCCCGGGCTCCAGGTCCTGCTTTAGCACTGCCTGGGACCCAGAGGCTCTCTCCTCATCCCCATCCAGTAGGCATCAGGTTTAACCGAAGGCCACAGGTCCCAAAACCTGAAGTCCAGGTAGAAGAGACTCCATGGGAGAAAGTCCCTGCCCCCATCCTTGCCTGGTTCTGAGTCAGAGGAGTAGAGAACACTGGAAATTTTCTCTGCTTCCCTCTTCTTCCTGGTCCTCAACACTCACCCCCTGCCTCAAAGGCACCTCAAGCCTGTCCTGCCCCAACCAGTTCCTCTGACACCCTCAGGATCAGATAACAGAGGGTAGAGCCAGCAGTGGGTGGGACCTCATGGGCTGGCCCTAGAGCTTCGGGAGTTGCAGGTAGGAGCTGGTGGCTCAGGAGAGGTGGGGGACGGGGTTGGGGCCAGGAATAGAGGGCCCTGCAAGGGGAGACCGGAAGAGAGGCAAGGTGGGAGACCTGGGAGGAGCAGTGGGGCTCAGCTGGGAAGGTTAGAAAGCTGACATGGGGTGGGGTCAGGGTGACTGTAGGCTGCTCTGGGGCACCTGCCCGGGTTCTGAAAGGTACCCGGGTAGAAAGTCAAAAGTCTCTTTGCCGAGGAGGCAGGAAGGCCTAGTGGAGGAAGGTTTCTGAATTCAATAGCTCTGCTGTGCCCCCAGAAGAGGCCACACCCAGGTGAGGCCACACTACCCCCCCGCCACACAGCCACCTTCTTCCTGTCTAGCTTCCCTTAGTCGCCCTTTTCCACTGGGCTCTGGCCCCATCCACAGCCAGGGCTGCAGCCTCTTGGAAAAGGGTGATGAGGGGAGCCAGAAAGCAACAGCACCCTTGTCCTTAATTTTGGCCCAGGCCTGTCCTCTTCTCATACTGCAGAGCTCAGGCCCAACCAGTAGCCTGTGTATGGCCATGGGAATCTTGGAGGCAGAAGAGATCTGGCCACATGTCCTTCCAACCTGTGTCCTCCCAGGGATGCCAGGGCTGGGCACAGCCCCTGCACTCCCTACCTTCCCTCGATGACGGTGATGACATCATTTATCTGGATGTGCAGCTTGTCTGGTTCCTCAAAGTCCTGAAGGGCCCGCATGTCAGTGGGCTGGGCCTGGGGACACAGATAGGTCATTGGCCACCTGGGGACTGAACCCTGGGTAGCCCCATTGCTTGGACACCCCAACTCCTGGGTGGAGACCTGCCCCTCACCTCTAGTAGGAAGTCTCGCAGGGCCACAAATGTGGGTCTGTCTTCTGGCTTGTGAGCCCAGCACTGGACCATGACATTGTAGATGTCCTGGGGGCAGTCCTCAGGCCGGGGCAGACGCTCGCCCTCCTTGTCAATCTTATGCAGGATCTGACAGTGAGGAGGGGGCAGTGTGAGGGCTGGCAGGAACTCAGCTCTTCACCTCCCACCTTCCCTCAGTCCGCCCCACAGCTGCAGCTGCTGGCTGCCAGCCTGTCCTCCAGAGGAGGGATCTGCCTACCCAGGAGAGGCGTTCTCCCAGAGCCTCTGGCCCTTCTTCCCAGGTCTGGGGTAGACATGGCGAGGGCTAGAAGATGAGAGCAGGCCCTGGCCCCTTGGTGCAGTCCCTTCCCTGTGCTCAGCTCTCCCAGAAAGGTCATGCAGTCATGGGTGTCAGGGGAGGAGGGAGTCCATCAGGCGAGAGCCAGTTCCAATGAGGCCAGGCTGGAAGCCAGGGTTCAATTACCCCCCCACCCTAAGGGGAGCCCACCTCCCGGCCTCCTCACCTGACTGCCATTGAGGCCAATCCAGGGCTCCTGGCCATAGGTGAACATCTCCCACAACGTCACCCCAAACATCCACGTGTCGCTGGCGTGGGAGAAGGTGCGTGTCTTCAGGCTCTCTGGGGCACACCTGGCAGAGGCAGGGGTCAACGTGAAGCCCTCTCAAGCACTCCCACCTGCATCAGCTCCCATGGACATTAAATACTCATTCAATAAGCATCTGTTGTTGCCCACATGCCGGGCTCAACAGCGGGCATCAGGGACACAGCATGAGGTGGACGGGGAGGAGTAGGACTTCTTGACTACACAGTGCACAGATGTGGAGAAAGTCATCTATGCTCAGGTCTCCTACTCACAAGCGGCCTGGCATGGGAAGAGGGGGAAAAGCTTCCAGTCAGAGAACAGGGAAGGAAAGAAGGTCAGGAGGCTCCAGGATAAGCAGGGGGATAAGATCACAGGCTGTTTTCTAATGTGGTGGGAGGATGACAATTTCCAGATTGGGGCAGGATCCTGGGATTTGGGTTCTTCCAGCAGGAAAGTGTGGGTGTGAAATTCAGATAGGGTCTGGGGAGGAACCAAAACGGGTGGAAACAGTCCCACTGATTTCACTCAAATACACCCACACCCGCGCTGGGCCTCCCCAGAGGAGGGAGAGACACCCTGCAGTGAGGATAAAAAAGGGGGTTCGTCCCAGGGTGGCCTGAGGTACAGAGAGGACAGAGGCCGGTGTGGAACCAGAGCTGGCCCGCCACTCAAAGAGGATGAGACCCAGGGAAAACCACTCAAGACTCTAAGCTTCAACTTCCTCATCTGTGAAACTAGAACAGCTAACAGCTATACATGCCCACTTCACAGGGCTGTCTAAGGGACTGTATTTAAAAAAGTAACCTCATAATTCACCATCCAAAGCAGGAGGCTTGGATACAAAAGGGAGTGTTATAAATTACTCCAGGATGACAGGCAAAATCTTGGATATGTGGTCACCCTGGACAACTACAGTTCTGGTAAGCAGAACTGGACCAATCCCATCTGCCCCAAAGCAGGGATATCACAATTCTGGGGGTGCCTCTGGTACCAGAGAACCACAATGGCCTCAGCTCAGGAGCCAGGGCAAGGTCAGGCACCACTCCAGTGACCAAGGCGAGCAGCCCTGGCTATAGTCTACAGGGCCCAGTGTACCCCAGCTCTACCTGGGCATGCTGACCAACTAGTCTTTGCCTAGTCAACTTCTCCTGATATTTCAGGGGCTTAACATCAAGTCCTCCAGGAAGGCTTTTAATACCCCACTGCATAAAACACCCCTTTACAAGTCTCCACCACATTTACTCCTGTGCCTTTCAGACCTTGGCCCATGAGCCCTCGACGATTCCTGGATAGAGGGTACACAAGAAGGCCACCCCAGGCTCAGAACAGACAAGGGCAGCCCATGCAGAACCAAGGACTGTGGCGGGAAAAGAAAGCCCAGAAGCTTGGGGGCCTGGGTCTGCAGGGACCAGGGTGGGATCCAGGCCCTGCGAGCTGGCAGCACCTGCCCCTCACCAGGCAAAGGGCACCTTGCGATGTTCCTGCATGACGTAATGGTCGTCATTCTGGGGTAGTGCTCGCATCAGCCCAAAGTCCCCGATCTTGACCAGGTCGCGGGTAGCCAACAGCAGATTGCGGGCAGCCAGGTCACGGTGAATAAAGCGCTTGGACTCCAGGTAGCCCATGCCCTCAGCCACCTGCACAGCGTAGCGGCTCAGAGTCCCCAGGAGGAAGTGGCCCTGGTGCTTACGTAGCCGGTCCAACAACGATCCCAGAGGTGCCAGCTCTGTCACCTGAGGCCACGGAGGAGGCGGGAGCAATCAACCTGGATGAACCCCACCCCTCTCAGCACCCCATGTTGTGCTCCCAGCCCCTCTCCTGCAGGCCTGCCAGAGTCATGCTCCATGCTCCTTCCTGGCCTGTCATCTTGGGACCTCTAGAAGGTCCTACAGACTCCCAGGCCTCTCCCTCCAGGCTATGAAGGAAACAGAGGCCCAGAGAAAAGGAACCCAAAGAGAGATAATGGCGAGAAATTCCAAAAATTAGACTCAATGGCCAGCTCCTCCCATGGGGGCAACTCTCTGCCAATGGGCACTAGCAAAATCCAGAGATAGACATGGGCTCCTGCAGACACAGTCAGTATTAGGGCTAGGCACCACGAGCCTCCTGACATCAGGTGGGGGACCGATGGAGAGAGTAACCGTAGCACAGGCCAGGGGCACACCTGGAGACCTGGAGCCCCAGGCCTTTCCCTGCCCTCCACCCCCTCCTGACCACAGCACTCACCATCTTCATGGGCGGTGTGAGCACCACACCATACAGCCGAATGAGGTTTCGGTGGTCAAGTGAGTGCATGGCGTTGACCTCCCGGATGAAGTCGTCCATGGCCTCTGGCTGGCTCAGCACATCAGGCTTTAGGCACTTCACAGCCACACTCACCTGCCCAGGTGGGATTTGCAAGGGGTCAGGACTTGTCCGTCTCCAATACACTGAGTCAACCTGTCCCACCCTCCAGTTCAGTGCAGAGATCCCTGCCACAGATCCGCTCATCTGGGTAGGGGAGCACATCACCGTGTCTAGGCTTACACACTCTGTGTGTGGCCTGGCCCGGGGAGCACAGCTGGCTGGCCCACAGGGGCCATCAGTTGGGCCTCTCCTTCCCAGGGGAATTCTCAGGTTAAATAGCAACCAAAAGATAAGAAATGACCAGTATAAAGACAGAATATTAAAATGTTATAATAGGCCAGGCGTGGCAGCTCATGCCTGTAACCCCAGCACATTGAGAAGCCGAAGTGGGAGGACTGCTTGAGGCCAGAAGTTCGAGACCAGCCTAGACAATATAGTGAGAGACTCCATTTCTACCAAAAAAAAAAAAAAAA